TTTCTTTTGAATATATATCTCGCAATACATTTAAAAATACAATATACTTTTCAGCACCCAAAGCTATTTTGTTCCAAATATAGAATATCCTCTTCACTCAGTGTACTTCACTTTGAGTTTATAATAGAAGTACACCACTTAAAGATAAATTATGAATTTGTTATCATTCTATTATTTATTATCGCTATTAAGGTATATTAGAAAGTAAGAAACATTGTTAATGGTAAATACTCTATGTTTAAAAAAAGTTGTCATGTTTATTGTAGCATAACCTGGAAAATCCAAATCGACCAAAGCAAATTATAAAATTACATTATTTATCCATAGTATCTCAAATATTATTTATACATCTTTCTTTTATATTAGTTGTACATAGTTTATAAATGTGTGGTGTTTAGTGACCGGTCAATCGTTATTTGGAGATCGTAAGATGCGGTCTGGTGTGATGTAGGTTTTTGAAAAACATTTTCTTTATCATGCGAACGTTTCGATCTTTATTGAGAACATCTTCAGGTCCCGGGATTTTGGATTTATAATTTTTTTCCACATTCTTCGAGTATTTGTAAAATTTAAACAATGTTTATAAATCCCAAATCCCAGGACCTGAAGATGATCTCAATAAAGATCGAAACGTTGGCATGATAAAGAAAATGTTTTTCTAAAACCTACGTCACACCAGACCACATCTCACGATCTCCAAATAATCATAGTTTATAAATATATTTATTTTCCTATGAACCATGTAAAGAAAACCCACTTCATTCATATTGTGCTTAAAATATAAGTTTATAATACAAGGAGCACTATTCAATAATGAATAGATTCTGCTGTTGTTCTATTAGATTTTGTTGCTGTTATATTATTTATTTCATTGTGTATTATACCGACCTGAATATGGTGATAAATAATCAAGTATAGTTAAATACATAATGTCAATTCATATGTGAAAACTACTGATAAATTTTGTGCAATAAATCTGGGAACTTCAAGTCCAGTAATTTTACCCTCTTTCTCTATTTCCTGTATTATGTTTATTGTTACTGTGTTTGTTGGGAGTACTGGTTTCTCATAATCTAATAAAGAATATTCAAGCTTTATTTATAATTAATTTCCCTATCAGAGTAGCAACCTACCTAAAATAATTGTGGATTTTTAAAAATTAATTATTATACTTTTAAAGGGAAGAGGAGTAAACAATTTATAGGGTGTTCTTTTTAGATGGCCCGGTTGAATTTCCTTTGAACCAATGACGCTTTCAAAAGCTGTTTAGTCTAGTTTCAAGTTTTTAGGTAGAGTTAGGAAAGCAAGAAATCCACAAGCATTTCTATCCTTTGCCGCAGTTCTTCAGATTATGACATGCGCCTAATATTCCTTGCACAAATCTACATTTGGGAGGCTGAAGGAAATGTTCTTCCATACATCCTATGGACTGATAAATCCCAGTTTACCTCTAATGGCGTACTTAACCGTTAGAATTTTTGAACGTTGAAAGAGGAAAATCCGAGCATTTCATACTCTTGTCATCATCAGATGGTTAGGAGTATCAACGTTTAGTGTTGATTTCTCGGAAATAAATTAATAGGTCCTTATTTCTACAAACGTAACTTAAGTGGTGATCAGTTCCTTAATTTTTTGAGGGAGGCTTTACCAACACTGTTAGATGATGTTCCTCTGCAAGAACAACAAAGTTAGGTTATCCAGGTTGAAGGATGCACACAATCCTTTGCAGGTGAGACGTTATTGCAACGTCACTTCCGGGATAAAAAGATAAAACCCCATGGCCCGATCTGTTGGCCTCTTCGGTCACCCGATTTAACTCCGGTTGACTATTTTCTGGGGCCGTTTAAAAAACAGTGTCTACTCCAATCATAGCCCAGCAACCTCAGTTGAAAAACTGCGGCAAAGGACAGAAATGCTTGTCAATCCATCTCCCCTGACTATATCGCTCTGAGCACTGGTGAAGATTGATTAAAAAGAGCAAATCTTAACACAAGGCAGGCAGTTCGAACATGAAATATGATTAATAAATAGAAACCAAGTGACTTTTTTTTCAAACTTTGTCATTTTTGACCAATTTAAAATCCGATTATACCATTGTTTTTAACGTAAAAAATCAATTAAAATGATATGTCAGGATGCATACGGTCGAATTGGAAATTTTGAACTTGAACTGGGCTTTAGGTACCCTGCATAATTTTTCCACAAAAAAAGGTAAAAATTTGAAACTAGACTAAAAGATATTAAATATATGTATTTAAAAATATATAATGATATAGATATACATATTATTGATTTAACGGATAATCAGAAATAAACTTTTTGTTTAATAACGTGGTATTTTATATGTCACTACAGTTAAGATGACATGTGGATTATTACAGAAAAGCTAGAAACAATAAAATATTCTTTTGCTTAGCATTACTACGTTTTTATTCCTTTATTATTAAATACCTGAGATTAAAAATGAAACAAACATTGGCTTTAGTTACACCTTAACTCTCATGGATAAACTTATAGATTACAATTCACAGTTTTTAATTTATCACACAATGTATTATTTTTATGGTGATACTTGAAAAAAAGGCGTTATCTTTTGAATATGAAAATTGTTAAGTATGGATATATCAAAAGGTCATCAGGTTTCCATCGACGTCCCATTGGATAAAAACGTCCTGTTTTGCACTTTAACGCGCGTTTAACACCAAAATTATGTATAAATAATTATCAAGATTACTTTTACCTACGGCACTTTTTTATGCATACAGAAGAGTGTAGCGAACAGTTTAAACAAAACCCAAAAATTTTGTCACTAACTTTTCTCCCGATAGATTAATCCACGTTACACGTATAATATTTAAGCGGATTTGTGAGATAATTGAGTATCGCTTAATCAGCCTCAGCAATCTGATTCTTCATGCATCACTGAGCAACCGGGTAGGGCTTAACGCTATCCATCTCCGATAATATGGAAATTTTGCGGAGAGCCTTTCTTTAATAAACCTTTAATACCGTTTACCTTAAAATTGGAATTTACTATGTCCTTGATTATGGGCCTTTTACCAAAAATTGATAAACCTTTTTGTTATAGTTAGCTAAAAATTGTAATATTGCTGAGATAGTTTTTGCTACATAACTAAAATCCGTCAGATCTGTATTTTCTTTTAGTTGTTTCGCTCAGTTTGAAACGGATGAGTTTATCCCAATGGAACCCGGCTCGGCTAAAAGCGATAGATAATTCAGTCAGGCTCCTGAACACGACTAACCATGCGCCAATTACATTAATCAAGATCAATTTTCTGATGGTGCAATTTCGGTCAAAATAATTAATTACAATTAGCAGTTTTTAATTGTTTAAAGGTTTCCCTTATTCAGGGATCCTGGCTAATTTGGAAAATTTTGCTCCTTTTTTCCACTTGTTTCGTTGCATTCTAATAATTCACATTCATTAGCCAAACCATTTTTTAAATTTAAAAGTGAACCAATAAGGGAAATATAGCGCAGCTTTGATGCCGTTATCCATAGTATTTTTGTAAGGTGTTTTAGCGTTTGGTTTTCGGTTTGTTTTTTAAATTATTGTTTCTTTCATTATTCTCAACTGATATCATATTCAGCAATAGTAGTTTTTTCTATATTTTTGGAGCTGACTGATGAATTGCATATTCCGTTATTACAGTACAATCTAAATATAGCAGATTTTAAAGCGATTAAATGAGTAAGCCAATTTTCATCGAAAAATAATCCAAATTCTGCCGGGATGTTTTTGATTAAAATATTTGAACTTTGCGGATTGACATAACAAAAAAACAGCAATTAAAAATGTTACAAACATACGTATAAGTTATCACATTCATCAGATTGACCTGATAAAGATGTTATTAGCTTTCAAAGTTATAATTTTATAATAAAAAATATTAAGTGATATTACTTCGGGTGATTTAAATGCTCATGCATCAAATTGAGTTTCAAATTGTTCATACTTGTTAACCTTGTATATTATTCGTAATAATTTCAAAGTCTTGATGAAGACGATATATTTCTTAAAATCTTGACAAAGGATTTGAATATTTTCTTCTAAATTGGCTTTATTGTTGATAATATACAGTATTAAACTTATAAAAGGAGGCTGATTAAATTATAAAAAAGATTCCTGTACAATTCATAAACACCGCCCATGCCCCCACGTGGTGAAAATTGGTGAATCGTACCAGAAACAAAAACACAATGATATATTATCAAATGGAACGGTATTGACAAAAAAAACGCCGTACAAAATGAAACTATATCATTTGTATTCCGTTAAGAAATCCTATTGATCACATACATAGCAGGTGGACATGCGTGGGTTTTTAATTGTTCAAATGTTAAGTCCGCGATGAATAATAATGGGCTACTTGCGTAACACCATCCTCTTTTATGCAATATTTCGGTACCTTATATAGAAAAACTGGAAAGCAATAACGGTACTTAATTGCAACCCTGAGCTACCCTTCAGACTTTTCTCCTTGGTTATCTGTTTTAGACATTTTATTGTTGAGACAAAGGCAGCAAGCACTCTTTAACTAGCCAATCAATCAATTCAACTTGAAATGTGGGTGGGTTTTCAAATTCAACCGTATAATTATCTCGATGTATATCATTAAAACTAAAAACAAACAAAAAACAGACTTCATCAAACTCATTTTTAAACGGGTGTTGTATTACAATCAGAAGTTATGAATAGTTTTGTTAGTCATGATTTTTCACTCGAGAGGAAATACATTACCAAATTTAGTCATAGGTTGTCGTGAGTGTCGAATTACTTTTTTTAACTATTTACCTTGCTTCTTTCTTTCAAACAATAGTCATTGTTATAGAATTGAAATATTCGCTGTTACCGAGAAACGGAATTACGAAAACATCTCGATCGTCCCTAACGATTTTAAGTTAAAATGGATAAGATATTTAAATAGTTGGAAATTGTTTTATCATTTTATTACAACAATTGTTTTCCTTTGTTTTAGATTGGGTCTGGATATGTACAAACCAGCTGAAGTTTAAGGTGAGAATATTTCAAATAATCTGACAGCTTTTCAAAAAGGGGCCGTTCCTACAAACAATATTTGACTTCGCGCCCTTAAGAGTATTAGTACAAGGGATGGGTTAAAATTTGAATAATTAACTAAGTTTTATCTTTCATATAGGTTCAGGGAATTTACGATGTTACGAAAATTCCTGAAATTACAGGGGTAAATTATGTTGTAGGGTTCAACTCCTGTTGAATTCCCTGTAGACCGTAATCACTAAAGTTTTACAATCTTGTCATAAAGTTGGGCAATGGAAACAAAAAAAGTAAAAATGAATAAAACAACTTGGCTAAAATTAGAGTAGGTTTTTTGACCCCTTTCGCTTCTTTGAATAGCGATATTTGCAAATTACAACTTATATAGTGATATTTAAACAAAATCCTGAATGCTAAAATAAATCTAGAAGTTATATAAATAAATGTTGTTGTTTTTTAACAATTAATTTAGGAAAACCTAAAAATCATCTACTGAATAAAAGCCACCATAATCTTCCAAAAATACCGTAGGCACTGCTTTTGTCAAGACCGCTTAATTTAGATTATTCTGAATAAAATCATCTTAAATTAAATTTGTTGTTTATTCTTTACATATTTCTCGTTTTATGAATTTAATCAATTTAAAACACGTCAACGAACATATAAAAACTCCTAATCCTTAAAAACCTTAAAGGATCTACGGTGCAATTAATTTACTTGCGCATACAAATGTTCTTACACGTCTTGACAGAATTTCCCTTTGTTGTATTCAAACAACGAAGAAGCTTTTTGCTGTTTTTCTTTCCCTCAGTATAAAAAAGTTCGTGCAGCTTAAACTTTCCTCAGAGGGTTAAGCGAACATGCGATAAACTTTAACTCAAAGGTCAGTAGAAAGTTCGATGGACTTTTTTTCCCATAGAATGTCATTTTATTTTTATTTATTTTAAAAAATCTTTTTATAAAATAATAAGGAAATTGTATTTAAGAATGTGGTCAACCAAGTGACATTCATTACTTCATTCTGGTCAACAATTTTATTAATACACTAAACTAAACCTTTTATTCAAACACTTTTCTATTAATAGACATATTAATAGACCAATTTTTTTTTTCTTTTTGACTGGGGCTTCTGACATCTAGGTCATTTCAGCCCCCAACTATGTCTTAAATCTATTATAATAATGTATAATAATTTAATGCCAATACCGTAATTATATGAAAATTATTAGCCACATTGGAAGGTTAAACAAAAGTCAAAAATCATTATTTCTTTACACAATTTTTTGCTTGCTCGGAGTTTTTAATTTTATAAACCAATGCAAAATTATTCTCGTTTGTTTTTGTTTCGATTTTTACTGAAGGTCTAATTGAAGAAGTTTTTTTTTTTTTTTTTTTTTTTTTTTTTTTTTTTTTTTTTTTTTTTNTTTTGCCGTTTTCAGTTTTCATGACCCTGTGAACTCTGGATACTCCTTGAGATTCGAGTTCAGACAGGATTTCTGATTCTGGACAGTTCATTAATTCAGGAATGTATGCGACACCTTTGGAGTAGTTCAATGAACGATGCAAGGTAAAATTCACTTTGATGTTTTCATAAGTTCTAATATTTTGGATGTTTCGATAATCATTTTCACAGTCGATATCAAGTAAAACAGATCCGTCTCGAAGGAATTTCATAGAGGCTTTAGGTGCGTAGCTTTTCAAAAATTTGCAAACCTTAAAGGGACTGAAATTTTTGAAAGAGATTTTTTCATGTTCTAAAGTCATGACAAGAAACTTACGGCACCATTTCATTTTCGTATTTATACAGGGTATTTTGTCTGGGGGTTCAGTATTTGAGATGGGGCCGGGGGCCTCCATCATGAAGGATGAGCTAATAAAAATAAAACGAAATCGAAGTAGTAATATGATCAGAGTTGAGAAAATAAAAATTATTTGCAGTATATAAATGAACTGAATATAACACTTCTTGAAATACAAGGAGGATGGGATCAAGTAGATAACGCTCCGATGTTTACTCTTCAGAGGATAAACAACGACTGAATTGAAGAAGTTAAATATTTTTGTAATGGGCAGACGGAATGGCATTATTTGTGATATTATAATAGAGTGTCAGTATGTAGAGAAATAGAAAAAGAGAGAGGGAAAGAGAGCGAGAGAGAGTGAGAGAGAGAGTTTGAATCAAAGTCAGTAAGAAAAGCACGTATAGTTGCTACTGAAAATGTCCTGCTCTTTTTGTGAATGAGCTATTGTATCATAAACAAAATTAAAAATTCAATAAATTTCCTAACCAAAAAAAGGCAAACTCGCCAATTTAATTAATTTATTTAAGAAAACTTTAATCATGGAAAAAAGTGTGTTGAACCTTAATATAGGGCGCTGCCATAAAAAGATGATAGAGATGACAATAACACACTTCGTTAAATCTCGCGTGCCGGTTTGAAGATCGCGTTCCTCTCCATTATTAAATAGCACTAATAGCCAGCTCGGAGACTATTAGCCTAATTAAACGTGTAAAACAAATAAGTTGTCCCTTTTGTAATTTTTTTTCTTCCTTCCATTAATCAATTAATCGAGCATAAATTTAAACGGTTCGGCCTGAGAGGGGAAATTGAATAAGTGGTGGATTATGTTCTCGATAATACGCCTGTTATGATTTTGGTCGGACAAAGGTGCAATTAGATGTAAATTAACGCTTGTGGGCCCGGCGAGGTGGGGATCATAATTGATAATAAATTGAAACATTATCGGTATAAAAGTTTGAAAATTCGGTTAAAAATATTTGAATTATATTGAGAAAAAATAAAACATTCGATTTGCATCTGGCCGCCTTGTTTGAACTGATAAATTAAAAATTAAATGTCCGAAAAAGCGATTGCATAATTTAAAACCGGATTAGCATGTACGATAAATACTCCATTGATCTCTCAAATAATATGAACAGATTGTTCCAGGTTCATTGGATTTAAAATACTTTTTTTTAATATACAAGCAAGTTTCTGGTAGATAGAATGCCATTCAAAGTGATCGTGATTTGTTTTAGGTTTTTAGAACGAGAAAACAGCATTTTTTATTCAAGTTAAATATTGTATTGTAAATTAAAAGGTCTGTAAAAATATAAAATTGTTAATTTATCGCAGCCTGTTTTTATTATTCATAAATTGTTGCATTATGTATATAATGTAATTTATAATAAATATTTAAAAAATCGTAATAAGTAATGTAAAATATGTATAAAAGTTATACATAAGGTATATTTACGATTTAAGTTTTGCGTTTTATTTAACGCACTTTTCGCCCAAGTGTTTTTTGTTGTTTTAATTGTTTTAAAGCTTTGTTCACCGCCTTATTGACGCATTTAAAACTGGAACAAAGGATCGCGGAACCTCGTTACGTCAGACGTTATACGGGGGAACTTAAGAGGCGGCGACCACCGGGTTATAATGTAGAAACTTAGTTGCTTGTGTAACTTCATAATAATTATCCGCTTAACACTCAAGGCTCGACATAAAATCCGCCCGATCTACTTCATCCCCTATTGTGCCAGATTTGGGGCAGCAAGGTGAATGTTTATCCGAAAATAATTGGGTTTTCCACAAAAGAAAAGCCTTTTAAAAAGATAGTTCCTACTCAGAGTTGTTGTCTAACGATCCGGATTTCGAGCTTTTAGCCCCTCATCAGGTTTATGTCGAGAGACGTGGTTGTAGAACTCCTTCAATCTGATGATGAACTAAAAGCTCGAAATCCGGATCGTCGGAAAACAACTTACTTTTATCTTTTTTAAAGGATTGAACACCGCACTCACTCCACCATTCATCATTTCTAAAAAGAAAAGCTTTCATTTTGCTTACATATAAATTTAAATTTGATATATAAATACTTTCAGTAATAATTTACTAAATTGACAATGATGGTATAAACTTGGTTGGTTCGTCGAACGCTCCAAGAATATCGACAACTAGACAAGCCCAAGGAAATGTGCAAATGAAAACTTATCGCCTAACACAAATTCAATCATTTTCAATTTTCCCAAATATTTTCTACTTATACCATTTACTCCAATAGAATTATAGACTACTTGATATTCACCCTTTACCCTGTACACAGACAACGTACATGTATAACTAAACTTAGTTATGGGGTACTTAATATTCCACCAACAATGCTCTCACCCCATACAATAATAAATTTATTTACGCACATAAGATACAGGAAAACGAGGACCATTCCGTTAAAAACTTTACAGGGGACAGAAAAACATCGCGGTGCGAAAGAATGAATAATCACGATATAAGAATCCCAATATTTAGAATCCCAATAGGATCTATCATTCTTAAATTATGTGAGATAAATCAAGGCCGTTATTGTTCGCGTGTCAACAGTGTATGACCTATTCTGAGTCAGGTAGAAATGAACCTTCAATCCAGTGTACCTGCAGGCCATCTAATAATCGTGCCCTTGGAGCTCAAGAAGTTCCGGTCCAACAACACTGGCATCTTTTGTTTTTTTGTTTTTATATATTTTTGTGACTACAGACACAATTATTACGCTTGACATTAAAAGCATTAAATACAGGTATTTTCGAGCGTAGGTTTTTATTTAATAGTAGAGATTTTAAAAAAATTGTACATTTTTCGGTAGGCTTGTAGTTTTCTTTTTGAAATTTTTATTGTTATCGATTTATCTTAGAAAATGCTTTAAGTTCTATGAAGAAGACATAACCTCTGAAACTTAAGAAATCTCTCCTTAGCTGTTTAACACCTCCAGCATAAAAAGCTGTGGGAACTGTGGAAATTCTGAATAGATCAAATGAGGCGTAAAAGTGAAAAACGGTGTCGGGTTTCCTTGAGTAAACAGCGGCAGCAAACGGTTTGAGAATCGTTGGATTTATTTTTGTGAGATGAAACGCAATCCCAAAAGTAACACCACCTGTTTTTAGTAGGAACCTATTGTTTTTTTCATCAGAGCAATGAATAGTAAATTTCTCCGATTATTACAACAAA